CGCTATCATCTATACATTACACCAACAACATCTACAGGCTACGCTAACATATATAAGCCACACCAACAACATCTACAGGCTACGCTATCATCTATACTACACACCAAAAACATATACAGGCTACGCTAACATCTATACGCCACACCAACAACATCTACAGGCTACGCTAACATCTATACATTACACCAACAACATCTACAGGCTACGCTAACATCTATACGCCACACCAACAACATCTACAGGCTCCGCTATCATCTATACGCCGCACCAACATCATCTACAGGCTACGCTATCATCTATACGCCACACTGACAACATCTACAGGCTACGCTATCATCTATACATTACACCAACAACATCTACAGGCTACGCTAACATCTATACGCCACACCAACAACATCTACAGGCTCCGCTATCATCTATACGCCGCACCAACATCATCTACAGGCTACGCTAACATATATACGCTACACCAACAACATCTACAGGCTACGCTAACATATATACGCCACACCAAAAACATCTACAGGCTACACTAACATATATACGCAACACCAACAACATCTACAGGCTACGCTAACATATATACATCGCACTAACAACATCTACATGCTAACAACATCTACAGGCCATGCTAACATTTATATCCCACTCTAAAGACATCTACAAGCCACGTTAACAATATCTACAGTCTACAACCCCCATGTATACGCCACACTAACAACTTACAGGCTATGCTAATAACATCTACAGCCCATGCTAACCTTTATATCCCACTCTCAAGACAACTTTAGCAACATCTACAGGCTACACTACCATCTATAGGCCACACCAGCAACATCTACAGGCCATGCTAACGTCTACAATTTTGGAGAAGTTGATGATTCCCCATTCAGACAGAATGCCCGAGAGGTGGCCGCTGAGTGAAATGACTTGCCTTGGAATGACTCCTCGGGAGTCATTGCCTTGGGTCAAATAAGAGAGACATACAAAACGGCCGAAGACTGGAAGTGAGAAGCACTGCCTTAAAGGGACTGTGTTTGTTTGCCTGTGAAATGTACCTCATGCGTGTGGAATTGGTCCTTGACCTCCTCCACGTCTTCAGAAACGTCCTCCTGCATGTGCAGCGTGTCTTCGGCCGACAGCAGCCAGGTCAGCACCTCCTCCAGAGTGATCTGATACGAGTCCAGATTCACCTCCATCTGCAGCTCCGCCAGGGTCTCGGCCCGTGTGCTGCTGCTGCTGCTGCTGTCCACCTCCACCTCACCCGCAAAGCCCTGCACACCAGAGAAAGTAAATGGAAGATTAACATGTATCCTCCTCCAAGCTGAAAAATCCAGCTTAAACCAGCCTAGGCTGGTTTTAGCTGGTTGACCAGGCTAGTTTTAGAGGGGGTTTGGCCATTTTCAGCCTGGTTTCCAGACATTTCCAGCCTGGTCTTAGCTTGTCAGGCTGGAAAACGACCAGCTAAATCCAGCTAAAACCAGCTTGACCAGCCTGGTTTAAGCTGGACATAGCTGGTTTTGGCTGGGTTCCCAGCCTGGCTAGGCTGGTCAAGCTGGTTTTAGCTGGTCATCTCCCCACCTGACCAGCTAAGACCAGTCTGGAAATGGCTGGAAACCAGCCTGGAAATGGCCAAAACCCAGCCCGGTCGACCTAAAACCAAACGCCCAGCCTAGGCAGGTTTAATCCATCAAACCTATTTTCTGTAAATGAGCATTTTCTATCCGGTTCCTCTGATTAGATTCAGAAGTTTCATTTTATAGCTAATGATAAGGTTATTATCGCCCCCACCGTCCCCACCAATTTCAAGTGCAAACCTACGCCCTTGATTAAAAATGTCCACATCAATAAAACTTACTTCCACATTGATGTGTCACGTCTTTTTAAAACCCAAAACACACAGATCACAGCTCAATGAAGATAACAGATGTAATTGTGTGAGCTGAGCTGAGAGAAGCAGGTTAGTCTTCATTGTGTCAAAGCTATTGTGCTGTACAATAAAAGAGTCACAGAGTTGGGTAATGAATCTGACATTAGGGAGCCAAACGGCACCACACCCAAGAGAAGAGCAAAAAAAAAAAAATTTTGAAACGGGATGAAAAGAGTAACACAACACCCTAACAATGGACAAACTGAGAATTCTGCTCTGTTCGTAAGGCAAAACTGCCTTAGGGAGTCTGATATGAACCTTACACCAGATCATGTCCAAAACACAGGATTACCATGGTAACCAGATCTAAATAAATGAATAAATAAATAAATTGTATAGCTATAGCTGGAGGGGGTGCGGATTTTGCAGACGATGTTGTTCTGTTGGCTTCATCGAACATGGACCTTCGGCATGCACTGGGATGGTTTGCTGCCGAGTGTGAGGTGGCTGGGAAGAGAATCATCACCACAAGTTCGAGGCCATGGGGCTCTACCGGAAAAAGGTGGTTTGCCATCTCCAGGATGGAGGAAAGTCCTTACCCCAGGTGGAGGAGTTCAAGTATCTTGAGGATTTGTTCACGAGTGAGGGAAGGATGGAGCGTGAGATTGACAGGCGGATTGGTGCAGCGGCAGCAGTACTGCGGTCTATGTATTAGTCCGTTCTAGAAAAGAAGGAGCTGAGCTGAAAGGCAAAGCTCTCGATTTACCGGTCAATCTACGACCTCATGAGCTTTGGGTCCTGACCGAAAGGACAAGATCTCGGATACTAGCTTCCGAAATGAGTTTCCTTCACAGAGTGGCAGGGAGCCCTCTTTATGATAGGGTGAGGAGTTCTGATACCAGGGAGGAGCTCGGAGTAGAGCCGCTGCTCCTCCACATCGAGAGAAGTCAGCTGAGGTGGTTCGGGCATCTGTTTCAAATGCCTCCTAGACGCCTACCAACAGAGGTGTTCCAGGCATTTCCCACCAGGAGGAGGCCTCGGGGAAGACCCAGGACATGCTGGAGGGACTATGTCTCTCGGCTGGCCTGGGAACGCCTCGGGAGCCTCCTCCTGGAGAAGCTGAAGGAAGTGTCAGGGGAGAGGGAAGTCTGGGGTTCTCTCCTGAGACTGCTGCCCCCGCAACCCGGCTAAATGACTTTGAACTAGGCATGGCTGGTCTGAGTATTTCAGAAACTGTTGATCTACTGGGATTTTCACACAGAGACAAATTAATATGAACGCAACACAGGTGTGTTTTTAAAAATGTAACATCTAAATACTCGAACCTTCACTAAAATTCCAGCATTTTTAGGGATTTCTACATATGAACCCTGAAACTAAAAAAACAGTCCACGAGCTCTCACACTGAAAGAACATTTCTACTCTGGCAACAGTAGCAACTGCGTCCTCAAACAAGGCTTTGTTTCTTCACCAAGAGCCCTGATATGTGGAGGAAAAGGTCATGTGATGAAAACATTCCCATCTCAATCCCACACGCTGCACAGAGTCGGCTCTTTCTGATCGAGCAGAGCTGGAACAGGCAGCGCTCAAATATTTGTGGCCTGACAAATGCAGAAGAACCACCCAAACGCCCCACAGCAGATTCCTGCATCACCAGCAATCGGCCAGCAGGGATACAGTTTTAGTCTTTTGTGCATCCAGAACATGTCTGTGAAGTTTCAGCTCAAACTACTGATTAGATCATTTATTATACCCTGCTGAAAATGTCCATTTTTGGGTTTTGTAGGGATTTGTAGCTGTTTAACTGTTTAAATGTGTCTTTAAATACAAATGAGCTTGTTCTTCTCACCTACTCAAAGTAGATTCACTAATAAACCTGTCTGACTTTATGTGAACGACAAAGTACATCCAGGAGATGATCACAGAATAATGTCTGATATGTTGAAGTGCACTGTTGTATAAGACTGAAGGGTTTATTCTGTGAAAACAGCCAATCTGAATGTACTTTATCCTGCTTATTACACAGCTATTTGACAATAAAACGTCAAAATTAGCCACAAAACATTGTTCTAAACTGTCATAGTTTATTAATTACTTAACTAAAAGCAAAGTGGAGAGAAAATAAAACAGCTGATGGAGTATACACTAACCTGTGCATTATTCAGACACTAGATGGAGACAAACAGTCAAAAACACAAAGCTGACAGAAACTAAAACAGCTGATGGAGTATACACTAACCTGTGCATTATTCAGACACTAGATGGAGACAAACAGTCAAAAACACAACAGACACTAAAACAGCTGATGGAGTATACACTAACCTGCGCATTATTCAGACACTAGATGGAGACAAACAGTCAAAAACACAACAGAAACTAAAACAGCTGATGGAGTAATCACTAACCTGCACATTATTCAGACACTAGATGAAGACAAACAGTCAAAAACACAACAGAAACTAAAACAGCTGATGGAGTATACACTAACCAGCGCATTATTCAGACACTAGATGAAGACAAACAGTCAAAAACACAACAGAAACTAAAACAGCTGATGGAGTATACACTAACCAGCGCATTATTCAGACACTAGATGGAGACAAACAGTCAAAAACACAACAGAAACTAAAACAACTGATGGAGTATACACTAACCTGCACATTATTCAGACACTAGATGGAGACAAACAGTCAAAAACACAAGAGAGACTAAAACAGCTGATGGAGTATACACTAACCTGCGCATTATTCAGACACTAGATGAAGACAAACAGTCAAAAACACAAGAGAGACTAAAACAGCTGATGGAGTATACACTAACCTGCGCATTATTCAGACACTAGATGGAGACAAACAGTCAAAAACACAAGAGAGACTAAAACAGCTGATGGAGTATACACTAACCTGCGCATCATTCAGACACTAGATGAAGACAAACAGTCAAAAACACAAGAGAGACTAAAACAGCTGATGGAGTATACACTAACCTGCGCATCATTCAGACACTAGATGGAGACAAACAGAAGTCAAGTGGTCAATATTGTGCATGGTAACCAAAAATGAATAGTTACTCACTATTTACTCTCACTAAGTGGCTCCAAACCTTCATATGTTTCTTTCTTCTGTTGAACACTAACGGAGATATTTTGAATAATGCTGAGAACCGGTAACCATTGACTTCCATAACAGAAAAAAACAAATACTATAGAAACCAATCATTACAGGTTTCTTCAAAATATCTTCTGTTGTGCTCAGCTGAATAAGAAAGTCAAACAGGTTTGGAAATGAAGGAGTGAGTAGATGATGACAGAAATGAACTGTCCTTTTGAGCGTGAGGATTTAAATGAAAGCAATCAATCATGATTCACTGTAATGATCTGCAGTCGATCCAGTCCGAGAAGCAGCTCATTAGCTCATTAAAGAATTAAAGGTTAATTACTGTGACCCGTCAGACATGTTTTACCGCTGTTTCATGAACAGGAGCGGCTAGATTTCAGCTGAGAGAAAGCATCAAAATCATGCTAATATCACTGTGATGTTTATTAAAGAACAACACTAAACTATCTTTTCATTCATTCATTTTCTTGTCAACTTAGTCCCTTTATTAATCTGGGATCGCCACAGCGGAATGAACCACCAACTTATCCAGCAAGTTTTTACGCAGCTGGATAACATGCAAACTCCACACAGAAAGGCCAACTGAGCCGAAGTTCGAACCAGCGACCCAGCGACCTTCCTGCTGTGAGGCGACAGCACTACCTACTGCGCCACTGTCTCGCCTAAACTGTCTGTTATTTAGTTCAAATATCAAATTATTCTTAAATCAAGAAGAATTTTCTAGACAGGCAAAAACACTGTCTTGTTTTCAGACATAACAAGTCAAAATCAATCCAGAATCAAACTACAATCACTGTGCTGCGTCTTAAAGTGCAAAACTACAATGCAAAATATACTTTACTCAGACTTTTTGTCTTGTTCTTAGTCCTAAAATTGAAAAAAAAAAGTAAAATTAAGAAGCATTTTCTAGACGAGCAAGAAATATAGTCTTGTTTTCAGAAATAATGAGTCAAAATCAATCCAGAATCAAGCTAAAATCACTGTGATGTGTAATAAAGTGCAAAACTACACTGCAAAAAAAAGTCTTTTCCTAAGAGTTTTTGCCTTGTTTCTATTCCAAATGTCTAAATGTTCTTAAATCAAGAAATATTTTCTAGACAAGCTTTTGTTGTGCTTCGAAATACATTTAATATGTTTGTTAATAAAGCCTGTTGTACAGTGCACTGATGTTATGTAGCTTAAAATACAATACATATTCACATTTCAATGTAGAAAAAGCCACCATGGGTGCCTTAAGGAGCAAAAATACAGCATATGGGCTCTTATATGCAGTTGTATCATCACTCATATTGCAAGTTATGTCTCTCCGGCCCCTCATTAGAGACGCTTTTCAAGAACTGGCCCCCATGACAAACTAATGGAACAGCCCTGCCCTACAGCAAATCATCAGCAGAACATAAGCATGCTGCTGTTAATAGCACTAGCTCACAGCTGTGCAGGAAACGTATACAGAAGCGTGTGTGTGTGTGTGTGTGTCTGCAGGTCTGTCTTCGTTTCTCTGTGTGCATGCGTGTGTCTCTTTGTATTTGTGTGTGTGTATGTGTGTGCATGCATGTGTAGGTGTGTGCATACATGCATGCGTGTGTGCCTGTCTTTATGTGTGTATGCACGCATGTTTATGTGTCCCTGTGTGTATGTACATGTTTGTGTATGTGCATATGTGTATGTGTGTACATGTGTGTCTCATTCTTGTATGTGTGTCTGTGTGTGTACATGTATGTGTGTGTGTGTGTGTACAGTGCGGCTCAATTTATACACTGTACGCCTGCATGACTCACTTTAACCAGTGAAAGCAGAAGAGAGAGTGAGGGGGGGAGACAGAGTGATTGTGTGTGTGTGTGTGTGTGTGTGTGTGTGTGTGTGTGTGTGTGTGTGTGTGTGTGTGTGTGTGTGTGTGTGTGTGTTAGAGAGGGAATGCAGTGATGTTGATTTTCCAGTCCATCTTCCAGTTCCTCGTCGCAGAACTCCTTCTCTTTCCTCTTCACTCTCTGAGCACTCAATCACAACATATATATATAGTGTTAGTGTGTGTGTGTGCATGTGTGAACAGCTGAACTCATCTGCTGAAGCTCATATTCCTCCTCTTTCCCAGCCGAGACCCTGAATATTAGCCGGTGTTTACAAACACACACTCATTAAAGTAGACGGATGGAGATCTGTGTGTGTGTGTGTGTGTGCGCATGTGTGTGTGTTTCCATTTTCACACTAATGTCTGCAGGTATCAAAATAACTTTCAATTTTATCATCAACACGTCCAGGACACTTTCAGTAAAGGGACACTACCATGCCGTGTTTTGTTTTTCACACATGAACAGGTCATATGGGCAGTACCAAACTTAAAACGCGTATGTGTGTTTCTGACTCCTCTAAAGCACAAAGACACCATCATATGTGTGCAGATATTTCAGAAACATGCTCGGTGAACATTCTTGTGTGTCAGAAAAACAATGCTGAAGTCAGACGTCTGTCTTTGAGCATGTGTGTTATGTGCCGGAACGGCTCTTTGTTTTGGTCATTTAAACTGTCAAATGTCAGTTTAGCCAATTATATTTCAGCACCCGGGTTGCCAGATGATGGAAAACAGCGTATTTCATTCAGTCAGTCAGGAAGACTCTCAGAGTGTGCATCTGTGACTGAAATGTGACCTCTGGTGGACAGTAGCAGACTCTGAAATGAGATGCAGATTCAGAGTTCCACATGAGGAGGTTATTAATTAGCAAATAATATAAATATTAGGAGCGTAAACATTAGGTGAGCAGGTCACATTAGCTGCGTCTCAAATGGCACACTATACACTCATGCACTATGTACTTATGCACTTACACACTCAAAAAAACGTTTCCCTGATGATGTTTGACGGTCGCCAAATCAGTGAAATAAATGACAAAACTATCAAATATCTGACGTGAGTTTAACCGCATTCACCATCGGGAGGCGCTATTATCACTCTCGTAGGAGAATTTCGCTTTCACCGTCCAAAATAAATAAATCAATAAAGTAATCCAACATGTGCGCCTGATAGCTCCGGCCCTTCCGCTATATGAGCAAATCTGCGGTTGTTGAGTGTGTGAAGTGTCCATCATTACACACTTCATTTTACCAGCTGAATGAGTGCATCATCCGGTTAATTAAAGGGCACTTATTATTGTTAGAGTTTTCAGTGTGAACGCTCGACTTACACTATTTATACTACAATATGGTGTAGAATAGTGCATAAGTATGCGATTTGGGACACAGCTATTGTAACCCCTTGTCCTAACAAGGCACTACATGAGGAGATTTGCAGTGGTGAGCAATTTGACTGCAGACGAAACTCGACAGAAATGTGAATACAGCCATTCAGGAGCACAGAATAGTGCACTCACTGCCCTCCAGCACAATTTATAATCTACTGAATACACCTTAAAGCTCTTTAACATGATTAAATGTAGATGCTGAATCACTGATATGTGTTGGTTTGCAGTTCTGAAGTTCAGTTTCAGACGCTTTATTTGATTCTCCAGATCTGAGCTGAACTATCTGCTGCTGCTGTCAGTAGTCTGGCAATACATGTGATGTGAAATGCCATTCAGACTCACATTATTAGCGTTTAACACTGAATAAAGCACATGAGCTGTACCTGAGCTGATCATTGTCAGTTTTCTGTTATTTCTAAAACAGAAGCCGTTTCTAAAATATTAATTTCAGATGTTGATTTGGACAAACACTCCTTTTAATACAAGAAATACTCCTTCTATCGTGTGCCGTTGCTTTTGGTTAGAACACAACCTAAATCTGCCTTTAGGCTCGATAGTCAGGCTCGCTCCTGTTGGTGTCGTCAATCTGGCAACCTGCACTTGTGTGTGTTTTGGATATCTAGTTCAACCACTGGGTGTCAAACTTACACACTGCACGTTTACAGCGTAGTATTCGCTATTCAGTGTGTTTTTCATTTTCACACAGGGCCTATGAGGTTTCCTATTTAGTTTTTCCTTAATAATAGAAACCTTCATGTAAAACTACATGATATGTATGCACACGCCCAGACACACACTCTCTCTCGCACACAAACACACTCACCGGGTGTCCCTCGTCGGTCTCCACCTTGTAGCGTCGGGGCAGCGTCTCCACCTCTCTGATGTCATCCATGGTGATGTCATTGGGTAAGACGGCGAACAGTGAGGTCACGTACATGATGATGGACTTCTTATCCGGCAGCTGCACCGCCACATCTGAAAACACAGAGAGCGTCAGTCTGTGTGTGTGTGTGTGTGTGCATACTTGTACATGGTTTATGAGGACTCTCATGAGGCTTAATGCATTTTATACTGTGAATAAACACTTTATTTATTTAATGGCCTCACCACTTTTCCTAAACCAAGTGTTTTGAATTATGAGGACACAAGGCATGTGCTCGTAAACCAGCTACCACTACTGTGACATCTACTCATGACAGAGCAATGGCAATCATCAGTGTGTATGTGTGTGTTTATGTGTTTAAGTATGTGAGGGTGTCTATGTGATTTTGTGTGGGTGTGAGAATGTATATGTGTGTGTGTACATATACATACTTTTATATACAGGAAGGTTTACAACAGTGGTCACCAAACTTGTTTCTGGAGGGCCGGTGTCCTGTAGATTTTAGCTCCAACCCTATTCAAACACACCTGAACAAGCTAATCAAGGTCTTACTAGGTATACTTGAAACATCCAGGCAGCTGTGTGGAGGCAAGCTGGAGCTAAACCCTGCAGGGACACCGGCCCTCCAGGAACAGGATTGGTGACCCCTGGTTTACAAGGACGCTGCACAGGCGTAATGCACTTTACACTGAATAAAATAATTGTTATATGTCCTGACACGTATTACACCCTAAACCCAACCCTCACAAGTGTTTGAGTGAATATTGAGCGTTTGAATTAAGAGAACACCATGCATGTCCTTGTAATCCGGCGTAATAGAGTACAACTAGGTCATACCTATGTCACTATACAATTCCATGTCCTCGTAAACCACATATACAAGTACACATACGTGTTTGAACTGGTTTTGGTGGTTTAAAAGGACAGAAATTGGCATGATGACGAGCGTATGAACTCTATTAAGACCCTGTCCACATGGGTATTTTTAAAAATGCCGTTTAGCACTTCTGCAAGTTCTGGTGTTCGGGTGACTGTGGAGGCCAATTGAGTACAGCTAAGTCATTGTTATGTTTTAGAAACTGATGATTGAGCTTTATGACATGCTGCGTTATCCTACTGGAAGTAGCCATCAGAAGATAGAGACACTGTGCTCATAAAGGGATGGACATGGTCAGCAGCAATACTCAGGTAGGCTGTGGCGTTGATGCTCAATTGGTACTAATGGACCCAAAGAAAATCTCCCCCACACCATTACACCACCACCACCAGCCTGAACCGCTGATACAAGGCAGGATGATCCATGCTTTCATGTTGTCTGAGCCGAGCATCCGAATGTGTCAGCAGAAATGGAGACTCATCAGAGCAGCAACGTTTCTCCAATCTTCTATTGTCCAGTTTTGGTGAGTCTGTGTGAATTGTAGCCTCAGTTTCCTGTTCTTAGCTGACAGGAGCGGCACCCGGTGTGCTCTTCTGCTGCTGTAGCCCATCCGCCTCAAGGTTGGCCGTGTTGTGTGTTCAGAGATGCTCTTCTACAGAGCTCGGTTGTGACGAGTGCTTATTTGAGTTACTGTTGCCTTTCTATCAGCTGGAGCCAGTCTGGCCATTCTCCTCTGACATCAGCAAGGCATTTGCGCCCACAGAACTGCCGCTCACTGGATATTTCCTCTTTGTCGGAGCATTCTCTGTTAACCCTAGTGATGGTTGTGCGTGAAAATCCCAATAGATCAGCAGTTTCTGAAATACTCAGAGCAGCCCATTTGGCACAAACAACAATGCCACGTTCAAAGTCTCTTAAATCCTCTTTCTTCCCCATTCTGATGCTCGCTTTGAACTGCAGCAGATCCTCTTCACCATGCCTACATGCCTAAATGCATTGGGTTGCTGCCTTGTGATTGGCTAATAAGAAATTTGCATTCACAAGCAGTTGGACAGGTGTACCTAATAAAGTGACCGGTGAGTGTACATCACGCCTATAGACAGTCCTCATAAACCACTAATTCAAATGTGTGTGGTTGTGTGTGCATGTGTGTGTGTATGGAGCTGCTGTACGAGGCCCCTCTGATTAGTTATGGCTCATGTGAACTTGTGTTCAGGAAAAGCCACGTAATCCAATCAAGTCCAGATGATTAGTCTCAGGATCTGTGCTCTGGAATGTGCTGGACTCCAGTTTGTTGACTGCCATTGTTTTCACTGGATGGGCTCTGACCGGCCGCTTCAGGCGTGAATGGCAAACTATGAGCAGATCTGCGCTCACCACCAGCACTGAAGCTGAAGATGATGCTCAGACTCCGGAGATCACACCATTGATAGAAATACAGCGGGAAATGTGATATGGCTGAGTGTGATTATCAAAACGACAACGGCTGAGATTTAATTGAATATTTAAATGAGCTGTGTGTTGGAGAGTGAAACGAGGCACTGTGTTTGTTTACAGCAAGCAGCTCATTGTCTGCCAACGTAACATGCGCTTGCAAACAAGCACAACTCATCCTCCCATATTTGTATTACTAACAAAAGAAGACTCATGTCAGTTTTTTATAGAAATAAGCGTAAGTACTTTAAGTCAAAATAAATCAGCAATTTGAAAACATAAATATATATTTTTTATTATTATATTAAAATTTTGTTTATTTGTTTTACATATATTGGGTAAATTAATGCAATCAGTCTGCAGAAACACTTTGATTGACATTCTCCCTTTGCACGTGTAATCAAAGGGAGAAAGCCCCGCCCACTAGTGACCATCTCCCCCTCATTAGCATAAACAGCAGCCCTGAGTGAGAAGCAGCCGTCCACCATTATGGGGTGTTCATGCCAGACACAACTTGCATGAACAAATCGAACTACTTGCACATAAACAGGCGCGTGAATTAAGGTGGGGCGATATCAACCAATTCAAGTAGGTATCGCTGCAGCCCGGAGACCTCCAAGTGGGAGGGATTACACCACAAGTAGGTTGGGTGACCTCCAAGTGGGAGGGACTTAAACCACAAGTAGGTTGGGTTTATCAGGTTACTGTGAGGTAGGGTTTAGGGTTGGGTTTAGGTGTAGACGTTAACAAAACACAACAGGTTACTGTGAGGTTGGGTTTAGGGTTAGGGTTAGGTGTGCACATTCATAAAGCACAATACTGAACTCTAAATACGACTAAATAAGGTTTGCACAGCCCACTTGGAGCTGGCTAAAACGTCTGTTTATTACCTTCTCGACCAATTTGG